ATCCTCACATTCCATCCCCCTTAGCTTCGAAAGTCCGCTGAGATGCTTACTTCGCAGGTGCCTTCCCTTTTAACATCCTCTCATATTCTGCCACCGCTTGAGGAGCTGTGTCAATCAGTTCCTCTCTGGTAAACCACCGATCTTCTTTTGGATCCGTATGATGCCTGAATCTGACGCGATATTCTCTCTTGGGCTTGGGAGGTCTTCCTCTACCCAGTGGCTTTGGAACAGGCAGGTCTCTGTGATCCACAATGTCGTTGATGTCCACTTGGCCATCCATGGTTGGGGGCAGCRTCGATCTCCTTGAAGGGAATTGATCTGTCTCAGCGAAAGGTGCAAGCTTTGAGGCATGAAAGACAGGGTGAGTGCGTAAGTGACCAGGGATGCGGATAACATAGGTAGGACCATCCATCTCATCCCCAACTATATCCAGGACTTCCCAGGGACGGCATTAGTTTACGAGAGATTCCGAATTCCTGTCCTAGCTCACTAGCCTTGACCCAGACCCGTTCCCCTACCTGAAATGAGGACTGCCGACGATGTTTGTTCTCAGAAGCAATCATTGCTTGCTGAGATTTCTTCATATGCTCGACAGCTTGCTGTAGCAACTTCTCATACTGCACGCCGTACTCGAGTGTGCCTGGAGTTGCAGAGGATCGGTTTTCAGGCAAGAGGAAGTCTAGTGCTGATCTAGGCTTCCATCCCAAGTGTAGCTGGTTAGGACTGACGCCGGTACTGCTGTGTACAGCATTGTTGTACAGGCTGGCGATGAGAGGCAATTTCTCATCCCAGTCATCCTGGCTGGGCTTGATGTAATGCCTCAGCAAGTGTTGTACAACTCTATTCATCTGCTCGGCCTGTCCGTTTGCTTCGGGATGATTCCCTGAAGTCATCTGAAGTTGATTGCCCGTCTGTTCAGCAGTCTTCTTCCACAGCTCACTTGTGAAACGGACATCTCTGTCGCTAACGATTGACTTTGGTAATCCAAAATCACGCACCCAATTGTCCAAAAACAACTTGATGACGTGTTCAGTCCTTGCGGTCTCTGGCATGGCAATTAGTCTAGCGTACTTGGTGAATCGGTCTATGATGACAAAGATGTGCCTCTTGCCATTCCTATTGGTCACCAGGGTGTCCATGAAATCCATGGAAACACTGTGTCCTGGACCAGCGGGGATAGGTAAGGGCTTCAGCAACCCAAGCGGTGCTTGAGTTCGTGGCTTGTCCCGCTGACAGACCTGACAGGTCTCAACATACTTCTTTGCATCTTTTAGGATTCCGGGCCACCAAAATCATTGTACTAGATTCGCACTCCTCTTTTTGTAGCCAAAGTGTCCGGTTGCGTCATGACATTCTCCTAAGAATAAACTACGCAAACGTTCACTAGATGGAACAACTAGCCTTTTAAATTCGGCCTTGTCAAGAAACAGAATCCCGTCCACCATCACAAACTCATCCTCTGTGGCCTTGTCTTTTGCCTAAAGTTTGCATATGATGTCCATCGTGACAGGGTCTTCCTGATACGCTCCCACCAGCGATTGAGTTAGTTCCTCAGATACACCGAACTCATAAACTAGCGTCCCTAGGTAGTCTGCTCTACGGGACAGCGCATTTGCAACCTTGTTGTACTCTCCCTTCAGATACTCTAGCTTGAAGTTATACTGATCTATGACCTCAATCCAACGCTTGAGTGCATCAGAAAGAGCCGGTTGAGTCTTGATCCATTTGAGGGTCTGATGGTCAGTTCTTTAGTAGAAAAACCGTCCCAACAGGAAGTGTCTCCAATGGACAAGTGCTTTGTAGAGAGCATAGAGTTCCTTTTCATAGGTGAACTTTGCCAGTTTCTTAGATGGCATCTTTTTGCTCATATACTCAATCGGTCTCAACTTCTTCCCATCCTGCTGAGCCATCACTGCGCCAATGTCGTATTGGCTTGCGTCAGTGGTTACAATGAATGGCTTCTGAGGATAGGGCACCATGAGAACCTCATGATTCATGAGTGCATGCTTCAATCGTTTGAAAGCAGCCTCGCACTCATCACTCCAGTCCCACGGCGTGTCAAGTCGAGTTAGATCAGTCAAAGGAGAGGCGACTGTAGAATAGTTCTTCACGAAGTTTCTATAATAGCCGCACATTCCTAAAAAAGATCTGACCTCGATAACAGTCTGAGGTCGTGGCCAGTCCCTTATACTAGCCACCTTCGCATCTTCCGGCCTAATACCTTCCGCGGATACTTCATGACCCAAGTATAAGATCTTAGTGCGTACAAACTCACATTTCTCTAGGTTGACCTTATACTTGTGTTGTCGCAGGAGAGAAAGTACAGTCTCAACGTGCTGTGCATGCTCCTCGACAGATCCTATTCATGGCATGCTGGAATGTACCCGGCGCATTGCAAAGGCCAAAGGGCATCACTACAAACTCATACAAACCGTATCTGGTCTGAAAAGCAGTCTTGTGTTGATCCTCACGTCTTATTGCTATCTGATGGTAGCCGAACTTTAAGTCTATCTTGCTATATATCCAATAGGTCGTCTATGCGAGGTAGAGGCTTTGCGTTTTTCACTGTGATGGCATTGAGGCCTCTGTAATCAATGCACATCCTCAATGTACCCCCCTTCTTCAGTACAAATAGCACTGGAGATCCGA